TAAGTTTTTCAACTCAAAGTTTCACACTCGCGAAATGTATAATTATAGAAGGCTACTTGTGCCGGCGTGGAAAAGGCGTATCATTATTTATAGCATACGATAAAACTTGTAACGTGTGATCTCGATGTGTTAAATAAACCATTTGAGAGAGAAGGAGAGTGTTCGATCGAATTATATGTTTTTATTTCGCTTTAATCCCCGTTTCATCGAGCTTTCTCCCACGTTAATTTCGAGCGTAAATGAAGAAAATCTCGTATGAATCACAATATCGTGCGCGACTGCCGATTTCGCCCAATTGATAGGGGAGGGGTCTCTCCGAAAGGGTCTCTCAAGACTCCTCCAGAGTCTCGCACGTGTGTGACTCAGCCACGTGAATCATTTGAGATAAACCGTTCGAATACAATCGGCACTTGTTCTTACAACGTGAGCGTAACTTTCTCCCCAGAGACGACGCGTGTTTGGCCCTCCCGTTAAATCAGAATCGATTAATTACGGACGAATAGAGCACGAGTTTGCGCGGGCGATAACGATCGAGGAGTTTGATCGAAAACAACCGGCGCACGTGATGCGATGAATGCCGTTATCGCGATATGTGCGTTACGGCATTACGATATATTCACGCCTCAATTCCTTATTTCACGAGAATTATCGTGCATCGGCGTAATTGCGCAATTAAGCCGCATCGTGGAAAAGTTGCCATTGCCAGACGGCAAGGGCGAACGTACGCGCAGTAATTGTACTCGTTATTCTCGTAACGTGTGTAAGCGACGGTGGGCTCTCACGTTAATAAATCCCCACGTAAATGTCGAAGACACCCGCCCGCACGTGTAAGGAGTTTCACTTCGGATTCCCCGTGACGGAAATAGACCCCACGGGTGTCATCGTGCAAGCGTTACGTCGACACCGGCGACACCGTGTACCGCTACGATGTTCCCGTGCAATTGCTTTTAGCGCGTGTGAGAAATCGCGTGCGGCCCTGCGCATCTCACGTGCATCGATCCTCCCGTTAGGCGATCAACAACGCCATCGCGACTCTTTTAAAAAATTAATCGCGCTCGAGGAAAGAGGGGGGGAGGCATGATTGTGATTGTCATTTGCGAGCTGGAATGCCTGGGTGGTACACAGTTGGCGGAAACGACGTTCGATTGTTGGCACGCGATGTTTTTCAGCCGTTACATGATAACCAGAAGTTTATATTTAGCTGGAAAAAACGGGCATTTTTTTAACGTCCAACGTTTCTTTGTTAAACTCTTCGAGAAATTAAGATTCGATAATTCGATTAATTTCAGTTTTTCTCGTTGTTTAAACTTGGCATTCAGTTGTCGACGTCTGCTTTTTTTCTCGAACAATTGGTGGAATACCGTCTCGATAGTTCGTTGAAGAATTCGGTTATCGGAGTGAAAAATTTATCTTTCTTCGGTCTTTGGAATGAGACCCGGGCGGAGTCACCTGTGTGTGAGATACGTTTCGTCCGTTACGCGATTGCACGGTGAACACACACAGAAAGGCCGGGCAGTGGGTGCTAATAATACGAGCATATGGCATCGCGGCAGGTGGTACCGCGGCGATAATATCGGCAGCTGCTCTTGAATATCGGCGTTTTCACGTGCGTTATCGGGATCGCGATTGGTGATCCTCGTTCTGGCGCTTTCCAGAAAGAGATCTTCTATTCTACGTTAGTAGAACGTCACGAAAGACGAAGGACGCTACATCGTCAACAACTCGTTTCGGTCGATTCGCTCGAGCCAACTTTCTCACGTTTGCATTACGAAAATCGTTATTTGTTCTAAAATTGATATTTCTTGCTGCGGTCTTCTACAATTTAATATTATTATTATTATACAAATATACCCGAAAATGATTTAATCGAATGTTTCAATCTGTCTTTTAATTGAAGAATTAAGGACGCGCGCAAGTTAAGTAAATATTACAAATGTCAGTCGTTTCGGAAAAGAGAGATTTTAACGCGCTTTTCATTACCGAGCAACTTTCGCCCATCGTATGTACACACAACGTGTCCGCATTCAAGCCAAAGTCACGATCGCGCGCGTCCGAAAATACTCTAAATATAACAGGCCAGCCTGTGCGTCTAGTCGAAGCATTTTGCGATATTTCCTTCTCCAGTCCTTCACCCGGCCGCTGCGGTTTATATTTGGCGTAGGCTGCGTCTCTCTCTCTCTCTCTCTTTCCTCACTCACTCCTTTCTTTCTTTTTTGACACTTGCATCTCCGATGCTTTCTTTTTCTCTCTCTCCCTCCCTCCCTCCCTCGCTCGCATTCGGAATTAGAGGTGCTTAAAATTAGCGGGCGAGCGGGGCGTAAGTAGTGGAAGGGAGAACGAGGGGGAGACGAATCGGTCTATTTTCTTATTTTAAATAACGAGGGAGGAGAGAGACACAGAAAAGTCGGCGAAGTCCCTGAAGAAACGTAATCCGAGAGGCCACATCCGCATTACTTTTAACCGCGTTTTACGCCACTCGGCCGTTTCTCTCCACCGACGGCTCGTTAAAATCCTGTTCGTTCTGCGTCACTCGTACGGAACCGAACTCGAAATAGAACGATTCCAGCGGGATACCGGGAGGACTCAGCGGTGGCTGAGGAGCGGCAGCTGAGACGTCTCGGACGGATCGGCGATATGATTTCGCGCTTATATTTGCCACATCTTCCTCGGTAACTTTATCGGCGAATCAATCGTCCGAGAGAGACGGGGAGAAAGTGTGCCTCACGAATGGTGGAGCGAGTAGAATTCGCTTCGTAAACAAGCGGGTTAAATCCCCCGGTGGAGAGAGAGGTTCCAAAGGAGGTTAATTCGATACCCCGCGGAATTGATTGCTACGCTACGCCCAAACTTCGGGATTAAAACGTGTCGCACGAACCTTGAAAAATCACCGACGGCAACTCCTCCCCCCTCCGCATAATCGAGGTAGCCGATTACATCGCGCCGAGAAGACATTCGATAAGTAAATCGTACCGGTATTTCGGTGTCGCATGGCGGTCGCATACAACACGTGCATTCGGGGGATGAGCCGACGACACGTGTGTGCGCGTATATGCACGTGATGGTAATCCCGCTCGCAACGCGCGTGCGATCGGATCGATGAAGCTATGCAGCGGACTGCACGAACGATATCATTCTACTGAGGGAAGGAGGGAAAGAGATACGCGGCCGATCGCTTCTTCGAGTTTTCTCGCAATATCGAGTAGCTCTCGTCCGTTTCTCCTCCGTCGAGGATCTTCACGCGGATAAGTGCGACTATATCCTTGTATTAAGTTTATATATCGGGGGGAAGGGGGATGGTGTTGAAAGTCATTTAACTCAGCGAGCGTAGTAGTTTTCGGCAAGTTTCAAATCTTCCTTTTTGTCGCGAACTCGTTTTCTCGTCATTGAATTGCCGAATTGAGTCGCTTTCATGCTAAAACTTTCCTTAGTGGTGCTTGCTCTATATGCTACAAAATTTGATTAAAATTAGAAACGGTCAACTGAGATTTTTGTGTTACTTTAACATTGGAAATGTGTTAAAAAAAGTACATAAATATAATGTCAAGTTAACATATTAACCTTGTTAGAGTAAGACGAAATTTAAATAGACCACCGTTTTTAATTTACAAAATTTACGAAATTTTTTGCCTTGTAGCTTTGCCGAGAGATATTCTCTCTTTCGAGTCCGATAAGATTACGATAAGATGGGTCAGTAGTGAAACAACGACGACGCTTGGCTTCAGAATCATCGCGGACGGTCGATTGTCAAATTCCAGTCCGGGACTCACGAAAAGTGAGCCCCCAGTCGAAGTAATCGCAGGAGCGAATCGGGGCTAAATCGCGGCTATAAACGCGAAACGACCGCTCGCGCGGTGATGAGCGAGTTGCGATTTTCCCTTAATGAAGATCGAGAGAAAATGCACTTTTTACGCGCGACCGCGTTTACCTCGCGCACAGCCGGAGAAATCCGGCTGCTCGATTCGCGTCAACTTCGCAAACGCGACAACGCGGCGAAGAATTCGTACAAGGATAATAATTCTCAGCGAGGGATTCGTGGAACGTCTCGCTGAAAAGTCCAATTTTTTGCTCTTCTCGTTGTCGGTCTCTTCTTTGCGCAGTGAATGAAATCAATAAAACCGATCTCGATGTCACCTCTGAAACGCCTCCTCGATTTCACGCTTGATTTTCATGAATTTCCACCCACGTGAATGGAATAATCATTGCTACTCTAAATGCGTATACACGCACACACACGTTTCAGCGACGCTTTGACTCCTACCGCACTAATTAAGGCTTAATCATACCAAAGTTAGCTCTCGTCACCGAGATTACACAGTCGTATCAATTATCAGGCGTTCGACATCGCGCGAGAGCAGGTATTAACGTTGCGTCGAGTAAGCTAATAATTACTCGTCCGCCACGTGCGTGGGTAGGTGAGACGCTTAAAATTACATATCGACGCGCGTTACACCGCGACAACGAGCGTTCGGGTGACGATGTGTACTTCATTTCTCCGATGGTGGTGAGTAATATAGGTCCCTTGGTGGTACCGTTCGACCTACTCGCCTCGATCTCTCCCCACGACGTTCGCTCGCACGCGCTGAGACGCGTCCTCTCGTCGATCGATCGTACGCCACGAATACCGCGGCAATCGTCGTTGCGAAAACGAGCAATGGAACTTGTGCGCACGTACGACGACGACGACTGATAAGCGAGTGACCGGTTCGCGGCGTTAACGGGAAGAAGTTGACGATAGTGGAAGTATCGACGTTCTTCGCCGTGATGACACATTGTCGAACTCTCGACTATCTGAACGGCGGTGGTAGGGAATATCGGACTGTTTGCCGAATAATCTTCGTTGAGGGGGAAATATTTGTTTCGAGGAGACGGAAATGCTCTCTCGGCTTTCTTCATCACAAGGATTTCTCTCTCGAGGGGCTACCTCGCGGGAAGGAAAGCGTTAGAATGTCCACGTAGCGATTCCCCTCCGCACGTCTGCAGTTGACCGATTCTTTTTACAGACTCCGAGAGGAGATGATAGGACCACGTCGAGCCCTGGAGCGCCCAGCAATCACACTCCCGCGTTGTCACCGTCGCCGGTGGGCGACGCGCCCTTGGGAAGGGCGCTCATGGAAGCGGCTTTGCAGCAGCAGGTTGCATCCGGTGCCCAGCCGCCCTTAGTCGTCACGCCGTCCGGATATTGGGTCGACGGTACCGACCACCGACATACCCTCGACTCGGCCGGCAGAGCGTTGCTGCCGGCGCAACCGGCCTGGCAGCCCAGGATAGACCAAGACGATACGGCCAAGTGTTATCGTCGCTTTTTCGTCGGCAGGGTGAGTTTCGCTCCGAAAAGGAAAGCAGGTAGAAGGAAAAGACGATGGCGCCAAAGAGAGCGTCTCGGCTCCTTTTTCCTCCTTTTTGCGCCGGTCTGAAATAATAGCGGTACAGCCGGGAAAAAGGGGAGTAACAATGGATCCACCAAGACAGATCCCGGAAAGAGTTTGTATTCTTTCCGGGAATGTACTTAACGGATCGCCGATGATCGCGTGCGGTCGCTTTTTCCGTTCGCCGTCCGAACTCGGCAACACGAGGCTGCTCGGAAACCAGAGACATTAGGAAGTTTGAGTCTCGCGTGCGTGAGTGAAATTGAGATGTTGCCGAGATGCACGACCGAGCGGAACGACGAGAACCCTCCCTTTTATTGTACGCTTGAACCTCACGGCGTTGTCGCTTCACCTCGTCGGGGCGCCGCGAGGCGTCGTTTCGCTCCTGCGCGTGTTCTTCGCGGCCGCCGCAAGAACGCAACCGCGACGATCGCGCTCAAGCGCGAGTATGCGTCTGCCGAGAAGAAGAAGAGAGGGAGAGAGAGGAGGAAGAGTCACGACGCGGAGGCGAGGCGCAAAGAGGCACGTAGGAAAAGGAAAAGAGCACTTTGCACGTGGGAGTGGGAACGTTCTCATAGTCCACGGCTGAGTCCGATGGTTGGAGCCTCCTCCTTGCCTCCTCCGACATTCATCCACGTCGGTCGTTTTCGCGATCCCCGTGTGCGATTTTCTTCCGCTCCCTCTCTTACCACCTACCTGCCGATCCCTCCCTTTCCTTTCCTCCCTTCGTCGGTGTCGAATCATCGTCACGTGTCGAGGAATTTCCCTTGGAGGTGAAAGAAAAGAGCGTGCGTTCGATTTAATGCGCATGTAAATTACACGCAGGGAAAGCCGAGGAGGGGGGCCTGATACGAAAAAGCGTGATTGAAAGTTCGTTCGAGTCCATCGACGAAATATAATTATCGTCCGTTTTGCACGCGGAAAATCGCTCTCTTCCCGATCGAGCAGGCCGACGTGCTTCGCCAATCACAATTCATTTTCATTCACGACGAATTTCCACCTGTCATCTCGCTTTCGTGCTGTCGTCGTATGTACGCGGCCGAATCTCATTTTCCCCTTACGATTATTACATCACAGAGAGGTTATTGTTTATTTATGGTTATAATATCGCATATTTTATCGGGAGTGTTATCGCGGGTATTACGCGGCTGCAACGTAGATCCGCCAATTAGCGAATCAAATGGCGCGTCGTATAAAAGAAAGAGAGCACACTATTTTCCGCTTCCGGCGGTTTTTCTAGATAAGGCTCGACGGACGAGTTCCCGTTCCGCCTATTGTTATTCGCATGCGTTACCTTTCGCTCGGTTCACACCTCGGTTTTCATCTTTCCGACTTGGAACGCCGCGAACGAGAGTTATAAAGTAACGCTCCGCGCGATACGTCCGCGAGAAAAAACCAAATCGATGGTAAATTAATCGTGAGAGTAGAAATATCGCGAACACCTGCCATCGACGATTCCGTCGAAGGTTCCATCTTTGGTCGGAGGAACAATCTCTTTGACCAATTTTCACATGCGAATTTCAACCGAGAGACCGGAGTAACGTATCTCGATCCTGAAGTCTCCGCGAAAAAAAGCCTCCGAGGTTGCGAGGCCCGTGCGTTGCGCCACGCAATCTCTTCTCTCCTCCTTCGCGTGGCGTAACGAAAAATCGCGTAGCGTAAATACAGCGGTGGCTGATAGCAACTATCGCGTGTCTCAGCGTAGCAATGCCGTTTGTTGCGTAGCTGAGCGAGAAAGAAGGAGCCGGCGGGTCGGAAGAAAGAGATTACCTCTGGGAGATAACAACGGTGCGCGAGTAATTCGTAGCGAACGGTTACGATCATAACGGCTAACGATATTAATCGACTGCCTGGAGAACAAAGAGGAACGCGCGGCGTTACAGAGAGTAAAAATCCATTGCTTACAATAGGAGGGCGCGCCGTCGGAGAGGAGTGACTCTCGCGCGCGGGCGTTATTCTTCTGCCATTTAACAGCGATTCCTCCCGATAAGGAAGACGATAAGAAGAGAGCCGACCGTGGCGACGTGAAATAAATAAGCCGGGGAGATCCGCCGAGTCGGAATCATGTCATTTTTGCGCATCGTTATTCACTATCTCATAATTCACGGTACAGTCAATCTACAATTGCAATGAATCAGTTTACAGTGATCCGCTTCACCCCGGGTGTAATTTGCGATCGATTTCCGGTCGCGTCGTTTCAGCCCCCTCGAGAGACACGCGAGATGCGCGCGATACTACTCGTGACAATAGTAACGATGATAATAATAATAACGGGTGTACGTACAATAACTCGATAGCGTGAACTCCTGTGAACTCCGGGCGCGTTGCCCTTTCTACTCCCTCCTCTCCGCCACATTTCCATCCGAAGGTTAGTAAAACACGGGGAAGGGAGTGTTGTGTGTGTACGCGCGCGCGTTTCACCGCATGCACCATTCCACGACCCGACCTTTCCTGCATCTTTCTAAGCTAAGCGCCGACATTTTTGCCCGACGTGCACGATGCATCGTTTTTCTTCTCCCGTTGTTGTCGACGATCTCGGGGCTCCGTGAAACGAAGGAAGCACCATTAACCTACGTCCGTCGCGAAAGAAAGTCCCTTCGAGCGGCGGGAAGGACGAAAATTCGCCGTTTCACCTTTTCTCATCAAATGGAGAATCGTTGGGATCGCGTGTTCACACGCTCTCGGAATAAATTTGATAAAGGGAGCGGTTCAGTCGCGTCAAAAATTTCCTCACGATGGAAAACGATACGCTCGACGTTCACCGAGGCACTTTTTCTTTTAACGAAACGTCGATGACTTTGTCAAAACGACAGCGATAATTTTTATCGCGACGGAAGTTCATTGCTTTGCCATTTTTTTTTTTTTTCTTTAGATAACCGGCGCAAGGAAAATTCGATTCGACGCGTTTCTCCTTTCGCGAAAGGGATAATAGGTATCCGAAAATCGCCTTTTCGCTTCTCGGATGAGATTCTCGTTTTTGTCGAGCAACGACAAAAACATTCCTAATCCGTCAAACCTTTCGATAAATTCGAACCGTACAGACGAATTTGCTTCGTATATTTCGCCTGCTCCCGATCCATCTTGAGACACCGTGTATACGCAGGATACAAAACATCAACCAACTACAGTTTGCAAAGTGTGCGTGCGTGTATTACTGCGTAATACGGTGCGCGGTCAGGGCCGCAACTACTTATCTCACTTGCAGCGATTTCGCAATGTTTTGCGTGCGTATCGTCGCATCAACACGTTCGTCAACTTTTCTCCACTATTTGATGTACACACACGAGTGATTCACCGCGTTGTATTCTGCCCCGATTCGCAAGCGAACGAGAGCGCATATTCGAATATCCCTGTTTTCCGGAAATCTTCGCAGATATTTTATTCTCGGATAATTTTGGGAATAATTTTTGCTCGTCTCCTGGCCGGTGAATCGATAATATTGCGAATTTTATTCGCATTCCGCAGGATTTGAAGGAATCTCGTTGCCCGATTCATAAGATGAAATGACGGGAGATTTGTAGAGTTTCATTGTGAAAGTCTATTAATTGCGCTAAGAATAATATCGCGTCGCAAAACTGAAATTTCCTGCGGAAATTCGCTGAAAGCGTTTCGTGCGAAATTCCTGATTTTCCCTGGGGAATTATCCGCCGATGGAAAATCAACAGCCTGCTGTTTCGATTTCCTCGGCAACCTTTCCGCTTTGATTACTATACATTCGTCCGATATTTCGACGAGATCATCCTCCGATCGGTTCCTCCGTGGCTAATTGCGCCCGTAATTACAGCGCGACCGTGAAACGTCTTATTTTTTCCTTCTGTCCGCAGGAGCACGTGAACCTCGTGGGAAGGGACGGTGAGAACGGCCCGGTCCTGGTCTCGGTGAAGGCCGAGACGGTCGCCGGACAGGAACATTGGCGGGTGTTGCTGCGACTGCGAGCGGGATCGACGCACGACCTGGTCCCGGCTGCGAATCTCAGCCCGAATCCTACGCCGGCAAAAATGGTCAAGGTAAAGCCATTCACTCGCGCGATCACGTTGCACCTCTCCTCCGGTCGGAGCGATTTCACGTGACTCGAGGCGCGCGTAAACCAATAGAATTCTGCCGTCGCGAAATCAGCCTTTCGTCTCGAAAATCCTCCATTTTGCGACGAATGAAAATCAGCCGTGCACCTGTGTCGGAAGCGACATTACTCGGTATTCGATCGTCTGAAAGTTTTTTTCCCGAATCTTCGCTCGGAGTTGCCGAAATGCATGTTAAATTACGTTAGGGACACGAAGAGGAGCTGAGTTGCCGCACGTGCAGAATTATCGGGGAAAATAAATACTCGGCGATAATGTATTTAAAGGTCGATTTATATCTCAAGATCGAAAGCGCTCTTGTTTGAAAAAAAAAGAAAAATATCACCATTTTCCGTGAATGTGCGACAAAATCAAATGCTGAAAGGGGTGAGTTATCGCGCCGGTAACCTTGAAATCTTTAATGATATTCATATGCTGCACTATCACTTTGAGCTATCGAACCAAAATATACGTTGAGTTATCGCGCGGATACATCATCCTCGCTGTTTACGCGTCGGAGATGCCGCTTTATATACCGGGTGGCGCGTTCGATTATCCGGCGTGTTTGAAGAGATAATAAGAATGCCTGGGACAACAGTCGCGTCGTGTTTATGCTATAATGCCGGCGAAATGAAACGTTTGCGGGCCTAGTTTTCCGAGATTGTTTCAAGATCAAACAATTACCGGCACCTCGCGAGCTTCCACCCGCGGACAGTTTCGAATTGTCAAACGCGGCCGGACGCTCGTTGCGTACGCTCACCTGAATGCGATCTTCCCGCGACGGAAACATCACTCGTGCGGCGAAGCAATCACGCGAAAATATCAGGTGGGAGTAAATAAAAGGTTGGATAAAAATGAATTCGGCACAATTAATTGAGAAGTAAATAAAATAATAGAATAATTAGTAGAGACCAAAAATAAAGGAAGCAAATGGAAGATCGGGAGGGGAGGGAGGAGTCACGAGAACTCGTGACATGATTAAGAGAAGAATGCGAAAAGGACTGTGTAAGCTCGAACGCTATATTCGGCCTCAGTTCGATGCGCACTGAATTATTTAGCCGGCCGGGCGCGCTTTATCTCTCAGCTGGTTACGTACGATCGCGAAGCGGGGGAAGGGAGGCGTGCGATAAAGCAGAGGAAAGACCTTGCCTCGCGCTCGTCTCGCGCGTGTCAACGCGTCCTTCTCATCGACGTTCTTGCAGGCGATCAACGAGTCCTTGAACGTGAGCACCCTGATGCCGGTCATGTGCCCCGGCGCCGGCACTCTGATAGCCCGATACGACGAGCACGCGCTCGTCTCGAGGTTCAAGTTCGGCGTTCTTCATCAGCGAGCCGGCCAAGTGACGGAGGAGCAGCTCTTCGGCAACCGGCAGATCACGCCGGCCTTCCAAGAGTTCCTCGACCTGCTCGGCCAGAAGATCGATCTCAAAGATCACAAGGGGTGAGAAAGATCCCGTACTTTATCGATAGGAGGGAGTTTCAATTCGATCGCTTCAGGTATCGCGGCGGCTTGGACACGCGGCACGGCCAGACCGGAGACTCGGCGGTGTACGAGGTGTTTCGCGGACGCGAGGTGCTCTTCCACGTGGCGTCGCTGCTCCCGTACAGCCCGGGCGATTCGCAGCAGTTGCAGCGCAAGCGGCACATCGGCAACGACATAGTCGCGATCATATTTCAGGAGGAACCGACGCCCTTCAGCCCGGACATGATCGCCAGCCACTTCCTGCACGCCTTCATCATCGTGCAGGTCATCGACCCCTGCACTCCTAATACGAGGTATATTCTTAGATTTACGCCGTTTACCGTACATCCATTCGCGTGGAGAAACAGTTCCGCTTGAATAATAATCGCGCTCTCTCGAGTAAAACCTTTTGCGTAAACAGGTACAAAGTTAGCGTGACGGCGCGCGACGACGTTCCCTGGTTCGGGCCGACACTGCCGACGCCGGCGGTCTTCCTCAGAGGCGTCGAATTCAAGGAGTTCCTGCTGACGAAGCTGGTGAACGCCGAAAACGCCGCGTACAAAGCCGAAAAGTTCTCCAAATTGGAAGTAAGCGATCCTCCCCGTCTTGCGGGGTCTCTCTATTTCCGCAAAAGAAAAGAAACGCCCTTCCTCCGTGCGAGCAATTATCGCTCTGAAAGCACGAACGTGTCTTTCAGCTGCGGACCAGGTCGGCCTTGTTGGAGTCGCTGACGGAAGAACTGCAAAGTAAAACCGCCGATTTCCTCGGCGGACCGGTCGGCCTGAGCACCTCCGGCCTGAACGTCTGTCCGGTAAGCCCGAGCGACGTGTCCGCTTCCGGCAGCAGCGGCAGCGGCTCGCGATTCATCGACACCGTTCGCAAGGCGCTGATCTCGCGCGTGCGAAACGCGTCGACGGAGAGCGTGCCGCAGCAACTGGCGAAGAAGGGTGGTCAGACCACGGAGCCCAGTCCGCCGAGCAATCGGCAATCCACCAGCAGCAAGATAAGCAGCAAGCGCTCGGTCGAGCCGTCGAGTCCTCTCGGCTCGCCGGATCTCACCCTGAGGAGGGACTCGGAGCGCGGTAGTCTGGGTAGCCAGGACAGCAGCTTGTCCAACACCGACAATCAAGACAGCAGCCTCGCGACGCTGCAGCAGGACGAGTTCGATCGCAAGGACAACGACACCACCGTCGTAGACAAGACGACGTCGGCGGCGGTGCAGCGATTGACGCACGAGAATCTGCTGCGCACGCAGGAAGTAACGCAACGTGTCATCTCGGAGAGCGATGACAGCTCGCTCAACAGCGAGCTCGAGCTCGATCAGGCCGTGTACCCCGACAGTGACACGGGTCTCGAATCTATGAGCTCCGCGGAGACCCACGACACCGCCAGGTGCACGACCAAGGACGGCGTCGCGGAGAACGAGAACCTGAGGATGGAGGTCACCAGGCTCAAGTGCGACAAGCTGGATCTTCTGCGGCAGAATGTGGTGAGTGACGCTGATCTTTATTTACGGATTCTTCTTATTCTTTTAAGAAAACCTCTTTATTTTTGTTTTCCTTTGACGAAAAGATTCCGCAACATCCCGAAAGTACATCATTCTTCTTATTCCATGTTAAACCAGTGTCTGAAGAATGTCATTTCTATTTTTTGCAAAGAGTTTTATTCCATCTGAATTTATGGCTGAATTTTTATCAGCCCGTTTGTTTGCTTTTCTTCTATTTTGATTGCACTTGGTTGAATCCCCCAACACGTTTAGCAACAAAGATTTTTCTCGACCACCTGCATTCTCTTGTATTGCAGACGTGCCAACGCGAGCTCAAGCGTCGTCGAGAAAAGGAGCTGCAGCTAGAGTCCGATCTAGCGGCGGCGTCTAAGGAGATCCTACGACTGCGGGCGATGCTCAAGGAGTGTTCCACGAGCATTCCTCTGGACAACAACAATCAGCAGACGTCCACCGTGTGAAGTTCGCCGGCGGACGACGCGCGTTCACAATCGCAATTGTAAATAGCGAATGGCGCGCGCCGTCCGTGATCGACTGCGCGCGTCGTCCGTCGACGCGCGTCTCAATTCGGTTTTTCATTTATCTCGCGATCGCAACTCATACGATCCTCTTCGTATGTGCCGTTTCTTTCACCCGTTAGTTGTCGCGCGCAGTCCGAGAGAACGCAGCCGACAGAGATCCTTCGGAGATCACTCGACGGGTCTCAAAATACTTAAAAACACCACGTACCTTCCGTTCAGGAATGAGAAATCGCCACTTCCAAAGGTCTACCATATAGTGCTCCTTAAGAGCAGAGCGTGTACGTTTTGCGATTTAAATGCTTTACGCCGCGAAGTTTGATCGTACGAGCTTTCTTCCGTTTAGGCAGACACAAGTTCTATGTGAGTCATATACCAGGTAGGATTATTAGAGAGCGGCGGGAGAGGGATCGCCGCGAGAAGCAGTGAGTCCCCGAGAGACGTGCAAATCTGAGATCGTTTAGAGCTCTGTTCGTACGGTACACACGCGTAATATTTATCGACTAATTTATTAGTAGACTTAAGTTGGACCGATCGCAGTCAATATGTAAGACACGAGAAGGAAAGAGGGAATCAAAAAAAAATTCGAAGGGAGAAGAAAAACGCGGCCGGTCGCTCTAATTATCGATGGTTCGAAATACATTCAGCGAGACAAAGCGACCGAGTTATCCTCGTGAGGCATCGCGGCCGAAGAAATATCGCATTTGTGTGTGCTACGATTACATGTTAGAAAGTCAATAATAACAATACGTAACTCTCCGCTTATTCCTCCGTAGCAGACGACAAGGTTATGATTGGGGCAAGACTCTCTCTTCTTTCGACAAAATGCGAGTTTACGCACGGTCGTCGAGTAGCTCCGCGATTATAGACGGAACATGTATGTCGCTAGTTGCAGTATTCGTCACGATAGACTCACACATGTACACACCCGTTTACTAGTTTCCTAGTATTAGATATACTCAATGAAGATAGTTTTTAGCGAGTACCTACGAACGCGCAATTCAATACGCGTCGTCGTCTAAACGCGCGTCTACGCCTGCTAGTTTTAGCAAAAAAAGATATTATTTCTCTCTCGCGCGGGATTCTAAGAGTTTTTCCTTTTTTTCTTCTTTTCTTAACCTAACTGCACACCGCACCAAATTATCTGAGCGTATGTATCAAGTTTTGCTACCGTATCTATCTATCGGTAACTTTCTCGCGCAAACGGACGTTGCGTTTATTATCGTTCGCGCAATGTAAGTTAGTTAGTTAGGTATACTTTGTATTCGTTCGGTTGACAAGTGTCGTCCCTCTGTTATCTCTTACGGCTAGTATTAATACGACTCTTACCATTATTATTATTATTATTATATTATTACTATCAATATTATTATTTTTATTAGTATTAGTATTTTTTTTTATTAACACCGATTATTTGTTATACTTTGTGTAAAAGTTTTGTAAATAATCGTTGAAATGTAGGCGAACACTCGAAGGCGATACCGGCACAAAAGAGGAACAATACGACGTTCACTCACACGTAATACCAAAGTTTAATGTAGTAAACTCGCGCGTTTTCTCGTTTTATTTTCCTCATTTTTCTCCTTGTTTTCTTCTCCCGTTTCCCTCTTGCGCGCGTATTCCTCTGTATGCGAGTCAGGTAGCGTGCGACGCGTATTTATCGAGGTTCCTCTCTTCTGGCCAAAAAGGAAACACGAGCGACAGTCATTTCGTTCGAAGAACGTAGAGAAGACGACAAGGAACATTTTGTCCCATCGCGGATACTTTACACGAAACACCATTTTTCGTCACTGCCTGTGTCGAACGATGTCATATGTCGAACGTGCGACGCTTTCCCTCTCGAGAGAACGAAAAAAATCTCTGTTGCATCATTTATGCGTGATACAAGGCCGCGCTATTCGCTTCAGTATTGAAACGAGAAAATGTCGAAAAGCGACTTCTGACGTACTGCCGCTCGTATCGATCATTCGGACGGTTGTCAGGTGAGAAGAAAAGGAAAGGTGCGAAAAGAAAGAAATGATTTTTCCATCGGAAGGAGAGAAGCCACACACACGTAACAAGATCACGGGCGAGATATTCTTTCATGTGTGCACACTCTGGGACGTTTTCGTAACAAAACAGGACGAGCATGCAATACGCTTATCGCGACTCGATAATATCAGTCGTAATAAGCGAGGATATACTGAGCGCAGCATGTCGGATGAATTGTAGACCATGATTAAGCAAGTCGCGTTGTTATCGAGAGATGACCGAGTGGAAATTCAACCTACCTTTTCCGGACCGATATCTTTATGTTCCTGCACTGCTGTCTATCGGTTGGAAAACAATGTCTCTCAGCATCGATTGAATAAGCCCTTTTTATATGTGTATTACACTGTGTGTGTATATCTATTCGAAGGCTTACGTATTTCCCGGTGAGATGATCGCGCGGCACTCCGTTAGGAAATAACGAAACACTCGACATTAGTGATATTCGCGCCAAGCCGGTGTGACGAGAGAAAGAGGAAAAGTTGTACAAAAATAACACGCGCGATCTGTTTCGATTGTGATTGTTGATGTTATATTGGACGATCGAATATTTGTAGGAATGATTTAATTCGATCCGAGATAATCTAAGATAAATGAGAGATAAGCCAAAGAATATACCGGGGAATCGACGACTATCTCGAGCGAGCACACCTGCACGTTATCAAAAGAGAAAAACTAACAAAAGAAAAGAAAGGAAGAAAAGAATGATCATTACCGACATTATCGTAGATTATGTATGACTTGAGTATTTTCGGAGACGTCTTATATACATATATATATACCTACTGTTAGATATCTGAAGAATTTATATTGCTACTATATATTGTATTTAATATTCTCGCGTATATGAGGAACTTTAGGTATTTCCTTACCTTCTACCAATGTACATACGTAAACGAGAATTGCGTTCGATTCGGGTGGAGGTCGCAAGATCTCCGTGGGACGCGTCTCTTTGTCTTAAAGTCTGGAAACTGAGTTTCACCGCTCTCTAGTGTGATTTTTATGCTGGCCTTGAAAAAAAAAGAAAGATCTATATTATAAAGAGATATTCACATTATATTATTAGAAAGGTAAGAGAGAGTGAAAGAGAGAAGGGAAGGGGGGGGTGGAGGAGAAGCGAGAAACCGAAGGAGAGAGAGGGAGAAAGAGGAGAGATAGAAAAATATACTATAATACATGCTATATAGATATACAAATATATTTTGTATCTAACATTAATCACTTCTACAACCAACTCGTCTGTGCCGTCGAGTGCTATTAATTACTCTCCTATACTGAGAATATACATATGTTTCTTACGGCTGGCGTGAAAAAAGCAAAAAAAGAAAAACAAAGCATTTGGATTTTCCGTTTCAACGTCACACTTTACATCGATCGTCTCGGACGATAAGCGATGTCTACTGTAGCGGACTATCTTAGTAAAATACATTAGCGAACATGTCGCGTGACGAAACATACAAAAATCACACGCGTTCTTCGACATAAGAGGAGCGCGAAAGAACTCACTACTGAATGTAATTCCTATATTTTCGCGAGCCGCATACACGTGCGCAAAACATACGCACACGGGAATCACTAGCGCGATCCCCTTTCGATATACTCCTTCTTGTTGTCCGCATCCGCCGAGTCGGAGCTATGCGTTTTTTGACTTTACAAGAAGCTCGGACCAAGACGAAAGAGGATATTTGAAAGTCTATCACACCGAGGAAACTTTGATCGTCGAGCAATTGATGCAAAATGTGAAAACGACACTGAGACGATTATTTCCCCGTTCGATCCGCAGATTGTCACAAATTGCTTCATGAGACAACGAAGAGAAATACAGCTTCTCCTTTTCTTATTTTCCCGGAAACGTTGATACGGCGCGCGGAAGCCGTGGATTGCATCAATTGTTTCTTTTCTATACACACACAGCACACACGGCAATTAGTCATTAGTAAGTCTTGGTCTGGCACAATTACAGTGTGTAAGACACCATAGAAAAATATGCACCAAGTAAAACGCCAATAAAAGGGAGATTAGGACGTGCAATTCGACGGGGGGTGTTCCGATCTCTCGCTGCGTCGCACCAAGTAGACGCGCGAATGTGCACGCTATACGATATAAATTACGATGTCAATATGTAAACAATCGCGCGCCCTGTGAGAAATTCTGATTATTGGAGTAGTATATGTATATGACCACACACGTACGTATTATATATACAGAGAAAGAAAGCGGAAAATAAAGAACGCAAAGCAACCGGCGTTAACAGGTCTCCCTTCTTTCCAGAGAAACATTCTATCTCACCGGTCGAACACTGATTTCTCAAAGTGCGAACGTTCGATCACGCGCTTTGCAAAAGAAGAACGAACTCTGCGGAGATAATGGAAACTCGTAATCGCGATCGGATACGACGTGCGATCGGCGCGAAAAATTTCGGTTCGGCGTTTTCGTACACCCTCGCTCGATATCGCTGGATACGCGTTCGAGCAGAGGGCGCGACGAACGGCAAGGCGAATCTGCGGAGCTACGCAAACTCCCGTAAGAGCAACGCCGATTAGCGGGTCCTCGGTAGTACGGTCTCGGTGACCGACCGCAGTCGGCGCGCAACAGCAGCTCGCTGGGCGCCGTGCGGGTGTGTATTGTTACCGACGACACGGGGGAATACCTCGGCTGGGCACAACGGGCAGGTAGACGGGCGGGCGGACAGAAAATGGCCAATTGTCAGATTGGCTGGTGCAGCAGGTGAGCAGATTCGGCGTGGGTGCGTGCATGCATGCGTGCGTGTGTGCGTTGCGTCGTCGACATCGTTCGAACGTGACGTGAATTCCCGACCGTCTTCGGCAGCGACGACAACGACGCGCGCTAAGTCTCGGCGAGATCGCGAAACGAAACGTTTCTTCCCCCGTGATGACGAAGACTTTCGTCGCCGCGCGCTCCGAGTGTTCTCGCGAGCGATCAGCCACGGTCGGATAGACGCACAGACTGCGTGCCGAGAACGACACGGCGAAATCAGGCGAGTCGTGAAATCACGGCGGCACGGCCGATCTCGCGAGAGAGGAAGCGAGAGAAAGAGAGACGACGGGCCTTGGTGTATATCGGCGTACGTAGATTAATTTATTACGTCCATTCGGAAAACATACGTTCCGCACCGTCGTGTGTCGGTTGCTGGGTTAGTTAGTTGGCCACTCTCTCCCTCTCTTTCTCTCCCCCCACCCGCCGCTTCTATCTCTCCTTTCCCTCTCTCGCTCGCTCTCCCTATATACACCGGAGCGCGCGCGCTCGTGCTGAAGAAGTGATGCATAGAAAATCTCTGGACGATACGTGCGACACGTGTCTCTGTATTGGGGTGCAGATAGCGGTGGTAGCAGGAGGGAGAAAAAGAGGAGGAGGTGTGTGTGCGCGCGCCAGGTGCAATATCACATATCTCCCTCTCTCTCCGCGGTATCGCGGCGGCAATATGCACACACAACCGCGCATCGCACCGTATAGTAGCGTGGCCATAATGTCATCCCGAAGGCTGCGTCTTAGTAATTCACAAAGGGTTCGCTCTTCCGTGAAGTACAGTGCACGGCTACACTTTTCCAGGCGATACCTGCCGCCTCGTACTTCGCCGCTGGACGACGAGCGCTCGTGGTAGGGCGGTCTTTCTCTCTCTTCTCTTTTTCCCGCTCTCCCTCCTTCCAACTCTCGCTCGCTATTTCTCTCTCTCTCTTCCTTCCTCTCTCTCTCTTTTCTCGCGGCTGATCCACGAGAGGCATGGCTTCTGGTGCATCCTCCTTGGACAGTGCTGGGAGTAGCGGTGAGTGACAATTTTTATTTTCGAACAACACAAGCGACCGCGCTCGATAGTGTCCCTTCGCCGCCGCGTACGCTAACGTCAGCGCGTCATTGTATTTTTAATTGCGACGTCAGGACGGCACGTCGTCGGTGTGCGCGTCGCTGCCGTCGCCGCACAGAAATATTTTTATCGGAAAATTATATACTTCTCACCCGAGTCTCCTCGAGGTGAGATACGTCAGCGATGTTCTCGTTTCGGAGCGCAATGTCGAACACGAGTCGCTTTTCACATAATAATCGCATTGCTAACTCGATTTAGTCGTTTTCCTCTCTCTCTTCTCCCTCTCCTTCCCTCTCTCTTTCTCTCTTCTATTTGTTGTTTTATCGATTGCGCAATTGCGAAAGAAATTCTAGCGTAATCCTGCGGTTCGCGATGCAAAATCTCGCGGAATCGTTACAATTTTTACCGTTTTGGTTCTCTCTCTCTCTCTACGAAGGGGAGACTATGCGATATTATCGACGAATATATTAGGGGAGGGTGAAAAATTAGGGATAAGACGCGACGGATATTACGTGATTCGAACGTTGTTGCTAATTCGGCTTGCCGAGGGAAACAATGAGATACACTATGCCCGCACGCGTGACCTAGAGTTTCTTTCCTGGTGAAAGCCGGAGCGCGCGAGAGACCTTTGATTATGTTGTTCCATCTACTGTAACAAGGTGTTTTAGACTTTTAAATTTTATTGTGAAATGCGCACTATTCGGATAATGGTCCGGTACTTTTACCTTGCGTTACCGCGCATCTCCTTCGCGCTCCTCTTTCCTCCTTCACGCCGCGATTAGTACGTTTCGAAGTAATACAGGTGTTTATAATTAATTTTCCAGATGGTGCACTTAACATGGGTAAGAGCTATTTTTAAACGGAAGTTATATAAAAATACACATCTATGTACACACGTCTTTCTTTCTTTCTTTTTTTCCTCTTCTTCCTTCTCTATTCTCCATAGATTCTCTACGTTGACACTGTTGCATTATCATTCTTATTATTGCTCGTCGTGATGTTTGGGAATGATTAAAACGGTCATATCACTAGTATATATATTGTTGATCGATTTAGTCGCTCTCGCATTTTTAATTCGCATCTTTCCAGACATTGCGGTATATCAATCAATGTGTCGAGCGAAATCACATCTTCACACGAGAATAATACTACCAATACTACCTCTCTCTCTCTCCTTTTCACGCACGCACTTGTATATCATACATATTACTGGGTTACACGCAGTATTATTTCTTTTTTTTCTCCCTCTCCTTTGACGTGTTGGAATTGCGCGTGGCATACGAAACCAGAGAGGGATAGCGGAAGCTACGGCAGTGTCGGAAGTCCAGTCAGCGGCCCCGAGTGTCGTAGTGACTATGACAGTTTACAGGCACAGTGCGATCAAGCGATGCATCAGCTTCAGCTACTTAGGCATAAGCACTCCGATACCATAAGACGGTTGGTTTGTTTTGTTTTACCTCTTCTGTTTATTCTTCATTTTTCCTTGGTTTTTTTTTTTGGTTCTGTTTTCACATTCCAAACCTCTCTTTCTCTCTGTCGCTTACGTCGGAACGGTCGTAATAATGGCAGTATATGTAAAAAGAGGTGTGTGTATGAAACAGATGTGAGCATACTATGAAGGAATTGGAATACTATCGCGGGCAGCACATAGCAGTGATGAATCAACTGGAAGCGGCGTCGCAAGAGAGCTCCGCGTTGCGGGGAAAGTACGGCGACCTGGCGAATGACAAGCAACGGCTGGATCGGGAGGTCCAGACGCTGCAGAAAGAGTTGTCGGAGCTGCGCATACAGAACCAAGAGGTTCTCGTCTCCGACGCGGCCGGCAACGATACCATGAATCAGCACTATCCGCTGCGAAAGTACGACGCGGTGAAGGACGAGTACGATTCCCTCAGGAAACGGTACGATGACTTGATAGCGTCTCACTCGTCTGCCGTTAGTAAGGCAAGTAGTTGGTAGTATTATTCTCGCCCGCGCCTACTATGCTCACTTTAATTCGCGCGTCGTCGACCGGCCGTCGCTCTGCGAACATTCACGCAGAATCGTGTGTGTGCGATGAATGCAGCTAGAGTTATCCAAGGAGGAGGCGACTAGGCTGAAGACCGACTACGAGCAGGTGACGTTGGAACGCAACAGCGCGATACGCGAGCGCAACGCGCTCAAGCAGCAGTGCACCGCGGCGATACGCCAATGGGACATCGCGCTCAGGGAGAGGAACGAGTACCGCGAGGCGCTCGCCAAGATCCAGCAGCAGCACGAGGAAGCGGTGAAGGAGATCAATCAGGCGATGGTGCTGCGGATGAAGGCGAGCAAGGATATGAAACGACTGACCGAGGAGCGAAACGCCGCGCTGCAGGAGTACAGTCTGATCATGGGCGAGCGGGACACGGTGCACAAGGAGATTGAGAAACTCACCGACGACCTTTCGCAGGCTTACGGCAAGGTCACGCATCTGGAGACGCAGAACAAGCAGCTCGCGGAGGAGGTAATATCCTTTCGTCGTCCCTCGTTCGTTTAAACTCTCTCTTTCCTTCAGTGTAGCGATTACACCGTTTATTCGCAGAAGAAAACGTTGTCTTACCAAATCGAGACGTTGAAGAGGGAGATCTCGTCCGCGTTGCAGGACAGGGACGAGACCCTGCAGTTGTGCAACGAGTTACGGCGAAAGTTCGGCGACTACTCGGAGGGCTCCAGCAGGGACTACAAGCACCGTCCGGAGATGCATTCGTTCAGTCGCGAGCGCGACAGCGTGATCAAGGAGGACGCGGAGAGGGAGAGCAACACGAGGGACTACGCGAAGCGGGACAAGGAGCGCATGGACAATCTGGATCAGGCTAATCTGGAGGTGGACAAACTGCGAAAGTCCGTCGACACGCTGCAGTCCGAGCTGGAGGAGGCGCTGCAGGAGGCCGAGGTGTCGAAGAGGAGGCGGGACTGGGCGTTCAGCGAGCGCGACAAGATAGTGCTGGAGCGGGAGAGCATAAGGACTCTGTGCGACCGGTTGCGGAAGGAGCGGGATCGCGCGGTCTCCGAGCTGGCGGGGGCGCTGCGCGACTCGGACGACATAAAGAAACAGCGGAACGAGGCGTCGAAGGAGCTGAAGGACCTGAAGGAGAAGATGGAGTCGGGCGACCACGCGCTGCGCAGCAGCCAGCTGTCGACCAGCCTGACGTGCGACGCGTCCGAGGGCAACGACTGGGAGATGATCTCGATACACGTGGAGCCCGGCTTGGACGCGGATCTGGGACTGATCCTGGTGGGCGGCCGCGACAGCCCGTATTACCCGAACGACAACGGCGTCTACGTGGCGCAGGTGACGCAGGGTAGCGCCTTGGACGGTAAGCTCCGCGTGAACGACTGCATCACGCGGATAAACAACGTCGACTGCGTGTCGTCGCGCATCATCACGGAGACCCTGCGCTCGTCCGGCACCGTCGGGCCGACGACCATGATCGTGAGGCGCCGTCGAATCAGCAGACGTTCGCTGAGGACGACGCAGCTGTCGGTCGGCTCGGTGCCGCACGGTATCGCTCTCGAGCTCGGCATCTACATCGCCAAGATATCGCCCGGCAGCTTGGCGGCCAAGGACGGTAACCTCGCGGTGGGCGACAGGGTGTTGAACGTAAGTTGCGAGCAAGTTTGCTTTTTAATCGCGTCTCGGACGGACGTGACTTTTGATCCTCAGATCAACAGCAAGCCGATGGACACGGTGACGACGGTGCACGAGGCGGTGGCGATTCTCAACGACACGACGATAGACGTGATAACCATCACGACGCTGAAGGGCATCCCCGTGCCGTCCGAGACGGTCACGCTGGACGCCTTCGCCGCTTCGGAGAAGCAGAAGATGGTGAACAGCTGCTCGCAGACCGAGCAGGAGAGAATGATGCTGAAGGCGGACGACTACGAGAGGCGATACCTATCGACCAACTTCGGCGAGCGGAACGTCGCGTACAAGGCCGCCGCCAAGTCGGTGAGCGGGGAGAAATCGAGCGGCATCAGCAACGCCTGGGACAACTTCCGGGAGAAGATCGACATAGTGAGGGGCCGCAACAAGCACGGGGGCAAGGAGCGCGACGACAAGAAGAAGGGCCACCGCAACTCTAGTCCGAACACTTACGAGCAGGAGCAGGATGCGATAGCGGAGCTGGACTCGGTGATAGACAGCTACCACAAGAAGGGGAACAACGGCGTGCTGAAGCGCAGCAAACGTCGCGGAGCGGAGGAGAAGAACGGCGGCACGTGGCCGAAGGCGCGCGGCGTACCGCTGATACAGAACGGGACCGGTACTATATTGCACCCGAGAAAGACGAAAGAGCGATTCCCCTTGAGCGTAATCCTGCCGAAATACGATAATTACAATCGCATCTCCAACCCCACACCCCTGACCAGCTTTTCCAATGTGAGTAATCGGCATACCGTTTACAAAGCAGTGGAGACGCCGTTGCCGAGCTTCACCAAGTCCGGTCAGCTGTACAGCCAGCGTTCCTTCACACCGGCGGCGGTGCAGTTCGTCGACTCGAAGAAGCCGGAATTGGTCGAGACGGCGGAGACGCGACTCTCCGAGACCGACTTTTCCCTCAAGTCCGGTCTCGACTACTTCGCCAAACGGCCGACGCAAAAGTACGAGGAGACGCTGCACAACCGCGCGCACTCGCAGCTCTACTCGGCCGCCTCTTCCGGCCCGGCGCGGCAACAGGTCGCAACAGCCGCCGGTAACTTTCCGTTTCCCCATTCGTACGCGCACTCGCATCATCCGCAGCCGAACTCCTCCCTGTCCTCGCGCTACCCCTCGCCGCCGTCGCTGCCGTCCGCGCAGTCCGGCGAGTCGATCGGCCTACCCGACGCACGTTCTTACTGTTTCGAGCCCCCGTACAGTCCCGCGCCGCAGACCGCCGTCTACGGTCACATGCACACCCCCTCCGTAGATCTGCACTATCACCACAAGACGCGCGCCCTGGGCATCCCGTGCGACGTGCCGCATGGATACGAGGCCGGCACGTTGCCGGGCAGGAAGGAGGATCAGCGGATCCGCATACCGTCCAACACCAGCGTCACGTCCAAGAGCAGCGTCGGCAAGCTGTCCACCGGTAGCATCGAGCGCACCTCCGAGAGGGGCAGCCCCATGCCCACCTTTCACGTGGAGGTGCTGAGCCCGGGCAGCACCGGTAGCAGCGCCAGCACCGTCAGGGGCGCCAAGCGCGCCAGCATGCCCGATTACTGTTACTCCCAGCCGAGGCCGGCGCCCGGTGAGCTGCGACGCGTCCACATCGACAAGTCCGTCGAGCCGTTGGGCATTCAGATCTCGTGCCTCGAGAGCGGCGGCGTATTCGTCTCCACCGTCTACGAGCACAGCCTGGCCTCGCAGGTAGGCCTGCAGATCGGCGATCAGTTGCTCGAGGTCTGCGGCATCAATATGAGGAGCGCCACCTACCAGCTGGCCGCCAACGTGCTCCGTCAGTGCGGTAACTCGATCACCATGCTGGTGCAGTACAGCCCGGACAGTGAGTATCTCGGCATGTCATACGGAATGTTCTCTCGCACTCTCCTTCCTCCTTGTACAGACTTTATCCGCGCGCGCCTGATTAAATTGCGCCTGATATTTTCACCTTCTCACCTTTGCAAGAATACACCGAGCTAGAGGGCTCGGCGTCCTCGAGTTCGTCGGAGGCCGGCGACGGGGAGGCCGCCGGGAGCCGCAGCGGCTCGCCGACGCCGTGCAACAGCCCGGAGGCGCCTCGTAAGACCGCGGTCGAGCAGCCGGCCGAGCCGGAACGCGACTCCACCACCACCACCACGACCGCCGCGCCCACCAGCACCAACACCACCACGATGAGCTCGCTGCGCGTCGAACGAGACATGCGGCCGTCCGCGTCGCTGGACGTGAGGAGCACGCAGGAACGGGAGCGCGAGATGCGGCCGTCCGCCTCGCTGGACATCAACATCCGCAAGCCGGAGTTGCGCAGCGCCGCGACCCTCGACCGGCTGAATCGCGCGCAGATGCTGCGGCAGAACGCGATGAGGAGCCCGACGCAGGAGGAGCAGAGCAAGAAGCCGCCGCCGGGCGGCGAGCCGCGATACCTCTTGATCGAGACGAGAAAGTGCTCGAACCTCGGCATCTCGCTCGTGGGCGGCAACGGGGTCGGTATCTTCGTGCATTCCGTTCAGCCGGGCTGCCTCGCCGAGGAGGCCGGCTTGTTCGCCGGCGACAGGATCCTCGAGTACAACGGCGTCGACCTGAGACAAGCGACCGCCGAACAGGCCGCCCTCGAACTGGCACGACCGGCGGACAAGGTGACACTGGTCGCCCAGTACATACCCGAGCGTTACAACGAGGTCAAGGACAAGCCGGGCGATAGTTTCTACGTCAAGGCGTTGTTCGACCGGGTCGGCGAGGTCGGTGACAGCCTGCAGCTGCGCTTCAACAAGGACGACATACTCTACGTCGACAACACCATGTTCAACGGCACACCGGGTCACTGGCGCGCCTGGATCGTCGACCAGACCGGTCGTAGGCAAACTTGCGGAATCATCCCCAGCAAGTTCAAGTGAGTTGTTGCGCCGCAACTTTTCTCCTCGAGAGATTTGTTTTTTTTTTAGGAGAGCCCTTATCTAGCTTATCGATTCCTTCTGCATATAGACGTTAAAAACAAATATCTGCGTCGCAAGCTATTTATGACTCGATGCGATACATTAATAGCTGACGGTCGATAGCGCGGTGTATTTTGGAACGAAGTAGGCCACGGATAAACGGAGCGTGTGATATCAGGGTTGAGGAGGAGCTGCTTCTACGGCGGTCCTTGGGCGATTTGGAGCAAGACGCCGGCAAGCGTAGCAACACCAGCGCGAGGAGGAGCTTCTTCCGCCGCAAGAAGCAGCAGCAGCGATCGTCCAGCAGCAGAGACAGCAAGGAACTGTCGCATCTCACGGGGGTGAATTTGGGATGGTACAGCGACAGCGGGACGTTGAACGAGGACACCCTCCCCGCGAGTTATCAGCGGGTCGAGAGACTCGACTGTACGTATCCGAGCGTTTTCTTCCAAGAAACATGCCTCGCTCTTGCGTCATCCTTTCGTTGCTGAAACGTACCTTTTTCCTCGCAGATCCCACCCTGAGACCTGTGCTGATCCTCGGTCCGCTCAGCGAATGCGTGGTGACGAAACTCCTGCAGGAATATCCGGGTCAGTTCACCAGGTGCCTAGCGGAGGCGATGCATTGCTCACAGGCGACCTTGGAGCAAGGTCTGCGCGATTCGCTCTACGTGGATTACAGGAAGAAGGGCAGCTACTTTGAATGTACAACGGTGCAAGCGGTCAAAGATATATGCGAGAAGGTGAACACACTTGTAGAAATAATCGAAAAATAACGATCGCACATATTTCGTTATCTCTTATAGAATGCGCATTGTATTTTGGATGTGTCTATCGCTTCCATCGAGAGGCTGCACAGACACCAAATTTACCCCATCGTCCTGCTGATCAAGTTCAAGGATAGGACGCAGATCAAAGAGGTGAAGGATTCGAGATACCCGAGCGACAAAATCAGTACAAAGGCGGCGAAAGAGATGTACGAACAGTCGCTCAAGATGGAAGCAGAGTATAAGCACTACATCTCCGGTAAGAAGATAGTGCTTCTAATTTTGCTCGTAGGCTCGCACTCTGTGCGCGCTTTTATCATTCAGACGACACATAAAGTTCCATCTGACACCTTCCGTGCTCGATTTTTCGCGACGCTTTTCCTCCTCGACTTTCGAATAGACGAACGTGTTCGTCAATTTTACGCCGGGAGCGATGAAACAAATATCATTTGCCGCACGCTCGACCGATTTTCACTGACGCTACGACAATCATTTCAGCTGTTATTCCGGCGGGCGTGAATGTGGCGTACATATGCACGCAGGTGAAAGCCTCCGTAGATGACGAGCAGAGCAAAGCTCTATGGGTTCCTAGAGGAGGAGGTCCCTGACACAAAAGGGGGGGTCCCCACAAGCCGCAGTGGAAGTCAATCTAATTCCACCAGGGGGCCCTTACGTCGTGCTTATGCGCAACATTGCTTTCGTTATTTATGGTCTCTTGATTTCCCGGAGGAGGATGTCACGCGGATCCTTCGCTCGCCGCTACCGATCGTGCTGTTCACTCAGTTTGGTTGTGATAACGATTCTCGCAACGGTAAACCATCTTACATTGGCGCATTTAGCTCGTTGAAATCTCGCGATGCAAAACAGGTAGACACGCGTACTTCGTCGCCTTTCTCTCGGTCGCTGTTGAACGAACTCTTTTTTTTCCTACTTTTTCTTCTCGCATCGATATGTTATATATATACAGCTCGCATCTGTGATTGCGACAGAGACTATACGTGTACGCGAAGTATCATCATCTTCGATGCGATCTCTTGAAAACGGTTTTCTCGAGAAAGATTGTATTTTATTTTGCATTTTGCCCGTGCAATCAAGTGTTGAATGATTTACCAATTAAACGCTCGTTATTTTTCGCCTCTTCTTTTTCTTTCTTATCACTCGCTTGTGACAAATTGGCTGAAAGAATCAAACGCGCTTGATAGCCAGTCCGCTTCATTCGATCGCGTGTAAGTTAAATGACACAACGGGAGATGCAGCTATAAGAATCACGAAAACTAATGATTCGTTCGAGACCATAAGTGGATCATTGCGCCAGACGGCGTGGGAACACTCGTCGTATTACGGCCCGTTCGAAATAAAAGATTGGTGGATTAATATTGACGAATCGCGCGTAAAGTACACTTTAATTAGAGGTTAAGCAAGCGTTATGGCCATTTCGCTGGCCATCGCGGCGTTTAACCCCTCAGACCGAAGAAGCGATGTACAGAGTCGAGAGAAATGGATTATTTTCTATAAGTAGTGAAATTGTACAGAGAGAGAGAGAGAGAGAAACACACGCTATATAAACTATACATATATATACGTACACATATATAAAGTGTGTGTGTGTATGTATATGAAAAAGAAAGAGTTACTTATATGTATATACTTTTTTTTTATTTACGCAAGTTTACGAGAAACGCCCGCTGATTCTCTTAGTTTGTACCGCGCAGAGACTTAGACTTAAGTTGTGTATATTGCTTTATGCTATTTTTTTTAACCACACAGGATAAGTTGTCAAAGGTGAGAGAAGCGATCTATCGCGCGTGCGCACACAACTTGTATTTAAACGCGTCTGAGGGGTTAATACGCGCAAATACAGCGGTAAATTAAGGAATTGAGAGAAGAAGATTGTTTTCTTCTTCGAGACGGAAGGAGCGATGGAATTGACGCGCGACACACTCCTGTTCCTGTTGACCGAATTGTAAATACGTGTAGTGGTCGAGCGAGATCGAAAACGAACGTTAGTAAGCACGCATTACGTTTGTGTAATTGTAACGTGATCCGATTGCTTATTCACGTCTGAGAGATCGGAGCTTTCGTATCGCGATTTTACGACACGCGCCGTTCTTAAATGAGCTTATACACACACACGCTTTAACACACGCGCGGGAAACAAAGGAAGAGAAAAAAATATGTCGTGAACTTGAAAAGATCCGTGAGCGTGAACATCCGTTCTTATGGTAAATATTTGTACATATACGTTCTTTTTTTTTCTACACGCACGAAGTGTCGCGAGATGAACGATTTAGAGGATATTTTGTAAAACCAATGTAATATTAATTTACGGATGCTTAGTGACGTATGAGTTAACCGTATCTGTACCTGAACCGGTGATTTCTTTGTAATCTGAACGTAGATGCGAATCTTTTCCCTTTTTTACTGATCGGACGAATAAGGATTAAGAGTAATGTACGAGGTACACCCGTGATGTAAACATTTTTATATTGAAACGAGATGAGATATTTTTCTTTTTTTCCTTGCTTGAAATCGCGTCGTTGACGTAGCGGCAACGTTGCGTTAGCGATAATAACGCCGGCCACGGTTGTGAGCGCCGCGAAATCGTCCGACGCGGATTGGCAATCTATTCGATATGGTTTCTCTTTTGTGATAATCATTTACATTATGGGAGTTTATAGATATCTGTCGCGATTGATACAATTTACGACGAGTGAGAAGAAAAGCGCGCGCCGAGCAAGCGAGCCTGTCGATTCATCGCGAAATTTTCTTTTCCAACGAGACAATATTTAGACGTAAGTTAGAGAAGCGAGATCAAAAAAAAAAAAACGCTGAAGAAGAAACACGCGTTGACTCAATATAGGGATCGTGATTAAATTTATACCGGTGCCGGTTGTAAAGTTGCCGCATTTAATACAGAGAAAAGCGATAGATATACTTTTTGATATATATCGGACTCGGGGAGAGATCTGTGTATTTCACATTAGAAAGCGCTCGTATTTAAATAGAGGGACCAAGCATCGATTGGTTGGTGTCTTCTTCATAACGACAGAGGAAGTACGAACGAGAAACAGAATCACGATTTATACTGTCGAATTGTGGATGCAGAAACCTTCGAAGAGAACAAACAGAGACGCGAAACTTGGAAAGAAAGAAAGGAAGAAAAAAATGCTCACCGACAATTTCTAATAAGATATCCTTCTCGGAGGGAAGTCTTCGTTGTTTTTTGCATTACGAGTTGCCGCGGGAAAGGTGTTTGAAACATTATTGCGAGCAAAAACTTACTCCTTCGTCGACTGGATATCGAATTTTCATCGACATCGTTCTTCTCCGAATCGTTTCCGCAGTGATGTGCGTTTTAGGGAACGCCAATAGTCGTGCGATGAGAAAACGAAATTTCACAAACGATCGTCTCGAGATTTCGCGTCGAGACGAATCGGTTCTCCCTTGGAGAGCCGATGAATACCCTCAGATCGAACGCAGAGAACTAGGCGAAAAAACAAACGGAAGAAAATTAAAGAGCTGCATTGCAAATTTAATTACTCTCTCTCTCAATCACAGCACTGTGATACACACATAATGTTACTCCTTCGATGACATATCAACTTAACAATCCTTTTACACACACACATATATATATATATATATATATTTACACATATAATATAAATATATATATACGCGATATATGAAACGCATATTTTGGGCAATACTTATATACACACACCTAGACATGTATGTTACGAACAAATGTATAACAACGCACTTTCTCGATATTTTTCATCGTAAGCACATGATTTCGAGGAGAAGGAGAAAACACAGCTGTGTGTACACGCGATAATAGCATATAGGGGAAAAAGAGTGGCGTAAATCAGCGATCTCGCTGAATCGGGGACGAGTCTCGGCTCCTCGTCATTGACCGGAAATTCACCCGTTGTGAACGAACGGCAAGGTCCGTCTCTCTATATTCATACTTTTCGATACTGTCCTTCGACAGAATGATAGAAAAGCGCTCGTGCGACTTCTCTCTATCGTACAGGGCGATCTATGTGCTAATTTTTTATCGCGAAGCGGAAACGTCGTCGGAATGTTCAATTTATCGTCACACATTCTCGAGAGGAGCGATCCTGTTGACAAACATGAGAACACTCCAAAGTCTCTCTCGAGCGACGACCGTAGTTCGATTAGGATTTGCGTTTTGCGGTAAAAATGCTTACACCATCGTTGTGAGACAATCTCGCGAAGCCAAGCTGCACGCTCGCGACTAGTCCTCGTTAGTATTCTCCGCTGTTTTCTATAACGGGCAACCTGCTGTATCGCATCAATCGTCCGATAACGGACGGCTTTTCTCGTTGCGTTTCTCGCAAACACGCTCGAGAATCTCTCTGACATTCGAGCAAGCAAGACTGCAGAGACAGCTCGACGGAGTCGGGTGAGGAAGTGAGTTTGCGAGCGCACCGGGAAGAATCGTCGACGTCCTCGTAAGATACTGATAAGCCGAAGTCGTCTGTATTTTCTCTAGCGTCACTGTCTCTCCGCCGTACTGTCTGTCCTCTCGACTTGTATCGACTTTGTATCTGCGTACTGCGCGTGCCGCCGCGAACGGGCGAAACGATACGCGTGGCTTTCTCTTTTCTCCGTCTCTCACTGTCTCTCTCTCCCCCCCCCCCCCC